TTGTGTTTGCCACCTGTGATCTATAGACTTTAAAGGAATTGCATCCACTAAATTCATCTTCCAACTTATTTTGGACGAAACAATTGTGACTCCTGCTCACCATCCCACCCTACCTGCTAATAGACACTTTGTGGCTAGATGGAAGTGTGGGCAAGGGGCAAGAGGGGTGGGAGAAACTGATGTGGACATATGGATGGTGTTGACCAAGAACCTGAATACAGTCCTCAAATCTCACTACTTCATTTAGTCCACCACCTAGCAAATATTTATTGAATCCCTACTATGTCAAGCACTGTGAGAGGCATGGGGTAAATATATATCTGATTCATTCCCAAATCATGTTGACCTCCTGAATATCTCTTTTTGACTCTCTACCCACTACTCACCTTCTCCATAACTTTCATCCTCATCCAAGTTGCCATCATCTCTCAAATTAATTACTAAATAGCATTACAATTTTTACTTTTCTATCACCTTTTCTGCTTTCCTCTGTTCTCTGACTTGCCTCTAGGACAGTCTTTTCGAAATGCAAACTTGAGCCCTCTGCATGCTGGCTTCACACTTTTTGGTGGCTGCTCACTGGCCTTGGACAAAGACCTCCTCAAAGTGGCCCGTGAAGCCCTGCGTGGACTTGCTCGACATGTGCTCTCTGCTCCAGCCGTCAGTCACTCAGAAGCTCTGAAAACTACACAACAGGACATTTGAACATGCCGTTCTTTCTGTCTGAAGTATACTTGGCAATGCTTGAACTAGTTTACTTTATTCATTGTTTAGGTCAGAGCTTTTCTTAAAACTTTTACCCCAGATCCAGTAAAAAATATACTATTTTACATTGATGTCAAGAATACACACACTAATAGGTAGGTAGGTAGGTAGGTAGGTAGGTAGGTAGGTAGGTAGACAGAGTCTTTGAGTTCCCTAGGAAAGAGATTCTGAGGACAGGTTTGCTTGTAGGAGTCTTTTGGGGAACGCTCTCAGTATCAACACCTGTGAAAGAGTGAGGGCAGATTTGGGCAGCAGCAGGAGTTGAACGCAGTTACAAGAGCCCCAAGCAAATTCCCAAAAAGGAGCTCTGGTGCTGATATGGCCCTTCAAAATTATTCCACTCTGATATAAGAGATGTATGCTTTTATATTCCTACATCAGTGAGTCATTGAATGCTTGCTGCCTCCAGGTAAAGGGCATTACTTGAGGCGGGAAGCATGCCCTTGAGCCTAGCTTCTGTGTTTGGCTAAGGCAAACTTCTGGACAGTGACTCAGAGAACCCCGTTTCTGAAGGAGGGATCGAGGAGGCACACCACAGTGTATACTGCAGTCTGTCTCTTGTGTAGCCCGGGTCCACTTGCTTTGTATAATAAGTTCTGGAAACAGCTTCTCTAGGATTCTGGCTGATCACTTTTCCTAGGAAAGTTATAAGCCCTCACCATTACATGATGTCTGATTATTGCATCTGATGTTCATTATCTCCCTCCTCTACTACCCGTTGTACTCCCTGTGTTGGTTAGCATCTTTGCTGGTCCATATGGCAGACTTGTTGGGATGACCCAGACCCTCCTTCCTGAGACGTCTGAACTCAACGTGACTTTCTTAGGCTTGACTTGCTGCTGTTGTTTATTTAATACAAATATTGGGTAGCATATAAAAAGACTTGTATCTTTTGCAGCCAGAGTAGAAAAAGCTGAGGACCACACCCAAGAATTAATTTTCAGGGTAGAAGGAAAAGTTTCATTCTCAACTACAGCCTGACTGGGAAGTACTGAGACTCTGAAAGTTGCAGTGGAGACATCCAAGTTTTAAACACTTAAAAGCTGAAAACCCCTGTCCCCCTGAACACTCCGAGGCTTCAGAAGTTATGTTCCCATCTTGTTTGAAGACACTACACAGCTCTCAGGATTTACCCCCATCCCCCTTATAACTTTCACACATTCCCTTCAGTTGATCATTAATCACCCTTAGCTTTTCATTGTCTTTCTCCAGCACATCAGTGACTCTCAGCAAAAGCCATGATTCCATTGTTTTAAACTTCTATTTCTTCTGGATCTCTTAGAGCCTGAAATATCAGACTCGCTAGTGTATTCCCTGGCACCTGTATCCTACTCCTGTTCCCCACTAGTGGACATTTGGCAGTGGCACTGCTACAGTATGCCAGGGGCAATCAGTAAGCCACCTGTCACCAGTAATAAGGGTCTCATTGACAACCTCTCTGAGAGCCTGTGTTTTGGACCATTCCTGGAACCGACTGTCTTAAGCTAGGTTCCCCTGGAAACATATTCTAATTTGGAGATTTATATGTAAGAATTTCATGGGGGTGTGTTCTTAGGATCTACACCTGTGAAGAAAGTACGATTGTGCAGAGGAAATAGTTCACCTGCAATGCAGTCTCAACAAAGCCCTCAGCCATCCCTCTGAGAGGTCAGCCCCACTCTCAAACAAGAGGGCTGGACTTTTAGATTCCTGTCATTGGATGCTGTTTTCTTTAGGAGGGAGCATGACCTTGGGCAGTGCTCTTTCGGCAGAGAGCAATTACCAGAAAGGCCTTGGCGGACTGCTGTAGGGTACTTCAGTATGAAGTCTGGGTGGTATCCTGCAGCATCAATTACAGATGGGCGGGCGGGTGGATGGCTGGCTGGGTGGCTGTAACTGTGCATTTGATTCGAGAAGCAATAACTGCCCCTGCTATGTGTTCTAGATTGTGAATTTTTTTCTACTTGAGTTGATTTACTTTCAGGAATCTTGTGATGCACATTTTGAAAATCAGTGTTGGCTATGATCAGCAGTGTTAGTGTAGAATGCTGTGGAAACAGGAAGGTGGGGCCATCACTTGCAACAAGGAAATTGAAGACATCTTCCTTAATAGAGGCTAGATCTAATCTAAGCGAAGCACGGAGAGCTTGAACACTCTGCCTGTGTGCGAGTCCTTGGACCGGGAAGGAGGTGGTGGGGTGGAGTGCCTGCGTTTTCCACAGCCCTGTTTGCTCGTGTGCTCTGCTGGAAACAAATCTATTTCAGTGACCTAGAAATGAAAGTACTCTTTCTCCCAGGCTTGCCTCAGGCGAGCGGCTCTGAAGCCATCTTGCTCTTCCTGAGAAAATAAATAACAGCAATAACAAAGCAGAGGCTTTCATGGCTATTTCAAACAAAATCATTGTGTTTCTCCTGAATTCATTTCAGGGAGGAGGCAAAGAGATAGAGGATTATATCCTTGAGTGATTTAGATTTCACCTGGATGTTGAGTTACTCTTTATGAAACAAGAATCAGCATAGTTCTTTACCTCAAACGTGAGGTAGAAGAGAAGAAAAGGGGGCGGGGTGGTGGGTTTGCAACTGTGTCGGAGGACTGGGCTGGGTTGCGCCAGCCGGCTCTAGTGACCCCGCAGCTGCGCGCTCCCCAATTTAATAAGCTTCTTCCTCTTTTCTGGTGGATGAGCTTTTTATTCCTGAGGCTATGATTGACATAAGGCTTAGGGCCCTACTGGAATTTCAGTTTTGTTCTTCTAGATTTAGCCTGTTATTTTTGCTATTGTTGGTTATTTCAGTAAGAGAAATCTTTATTCTTTTATTAAGAAATGACTCAGCAACTGCAACCTGACAGGACTTTTTTTTCTAATTTTTGTAAGAAAAATATATTTAACTCTGTCTCCCTTTAGAGGTTCCCTCCACCCCCAGAATTTAATTTTTAGTCCTTGTTTGAGTATTTATTTTAGACCTAAACTGAGATGGAGTTTAGGTTTATATTTTTTCATTTCTCTTATGAATGGGAGTAACTTAAATTAGGAGTAATATTAAATTTTCACTTCGAAGTTCCCCTGTAATAATAATATCCCTCTTTGTTGCTTTGCCCTCAAATCAAAAAATTAACGAAATCCTATGTGAAATAGAGATGAATGTTTCAATGTTTAACTCAACTTAAGTAAAATATGAAAAGAAAGTTTATTTAAAAATTACTTTCACATTTTAGCGATAAGAATTTCTGATGCAGGATGTGGGTGGCAGAAGGCGGGCAGAGGAGGTGTTCTGGGCTTGGGCCCTGGCGGTGAGGTTCGTCTCACCTCTGGAAGAAGGGGATTGGATTAAGCGCCTGGAGAGCTCTTCGCATGCCATTTATTTGCGATTTTATGAAGTTGCCTCCGGTTTCCAGTGATCTTTAGGTCAGCTAACTCCTGGCCAGTCCCTCAAAGTCTGCCTCAATCTGGATCCTAATTGGTTTGACATTCTCTGGTGATGTAAAAGCAACTCCAGCTGGGCTGCCTCCTTTGTGGCCCTCCCCTCATCAAAGGTTGACAGCTCAGCCGCTTCCCCTGGCAGAGCACTGGACCTGCCTTTGCCTGGGACTCCGCTGAGGCTTGCTAATTGTTTCATCTCCAGGATCTCATTTGTGCTGAAGCTGCCGTCCCAGAAGTGTAGTCCTCAGTCAGACCCATTGAGAACTGTTATTTCAGCTTGGAAGCGAAATTTAAAATGGAGAAGCAGGTTATTTTCTTGTCCATTGTTACCTTCAGTGCCATGATAGCAGTTACTAAAACAAAAACAAAAGCACAAACAACCAGTTGAGACTGTTACGAGATATTTTAACCATCGAGGAAACTGAAGTTGCTTCACTTCCTGAGTATTTTCTAACAGAGGACAGACTTGCATCTCCTCCAGCCTGGTCCAGCTCCCCTTCCACATAAATCCACCTCGCAAACAGCCCTGGTCTGACACTTTGGAGAGGAGGTGGAACCAAATGATTCAGCATTGCCTTTTTTATTTAACTTGACAGCCACTGTGAAAATAAGGCCCAAAGACAAAGTGATGGAGATGTTTTACAAAATAAACACTAAATAGAAATTGATCTTCAAACCACCGAAGATCCGTGTGTGCACGTGCGTGTCTGCCTGTCCGTATGTCTTCCCCAGTGCATTCTGTAACGTTCATCCAGGTGACATTGTTCTTCATGGTTGGAAACGAATGATCATGTTGTATATCAGAGCTAAAGTCTCTATTTTGTTTTCTTCCTACAGGGTCGTCATGTCAAAACAGGCCAGCTTGCCGCCATTAAGGTTATGGATGTCACAGGGGTAATGTATCTTTATCTTGCCTTCCCAATAGCAATATATTTATAATAGAAAAAGTAGGGATAGAAAACATTAATTTTCAGAAATAGAAACTTTTTAAACATCTTAAGAGCTTTCCCCACTTGTGCTTAACATGAAGTAAGAGTTATTCAACAGCTGATAGAGAAAACCATGGGTAAGCTATTCTAATTAAATTAGATAACTACACACTGCCTTAGGTATTTAGAGTGAAGAATAAATAATGTGTGCTGATAATTTACATCAACACAATGGAAGACATTTGCATATGAAGACAGAACAAGGATTTGAAGGTATTAAAAGAATAATACTGAGATTACACAGAAGAAATGGGTCTTAACATTTTTCCCAAAGGTCCACCTAACACCGGAATAGATGACACTTTGGGTGGCTCTAAAGTCCTACTTCGATATTTAGCATAACTGTTTTCCTCCCAAAATATTATTTAATAAACAATAACAATAACCACAAATTCTTATTTTTATTTAGAGCAACACCGAATCAAAATTTCTGCCTGGATGATCAAAAGCAATCTAAGGAATAGACTTTATTCGAAATACAATCTTATGCTTTCAATCCTTTTTGCTGAGTCTATTTAAAATATGTTAATGCCTTTTGAAGAGTACTGAGCAAAAATCAGACTTGAAAGGACTCACTGGACATCAAAAGCATGTTAATAATTTTCTATTGTCCTGGGAATTTTTCTAAGATGCCTGTCTGCTGTACATAAAAACTAAAAGACCAAGTCTTTCACTGGGTCCAGGAGCAGATTATTCAGTGTAAATAGACATAGAATGAATTAGTCATACAAAGGTATCAGGGACCAATATACAAATTTTAAAAAAAGGCACATGGTATTGTCTGCATGTCTGACTTCAATTTATACCTTTTCTGGCCCAGTTTGTTACCTTTGTTAGTATGTATTATATGGTATGCTATCTACCATAATACTAATTTTGCTAATTTTCATTTATACCACACATTTTTCTGATTTCTTACTATTGATCTGAATTCTTCTTTAAATTATATACATTTTTGCCCTGGCTGGTGTAGCTCAGTGGATTGAGCACAGGCTGTGAACCAAAGGGTCGCTGGTTCAATCTCAGTCAGGACACATGCCTGGGTTGTGGGCCAGGTCCCCAGTGGGGACAACATGAGAAGCAATCACACATTGATGTTTCTCTCCCTTTCTTTGTCCCTCCCTTCCCCTCTCTGAAAAAAATAACTAAAAAAATTTTGTACTAAAAGGAAAAAGTATATGCATTTTAACAAGTAAAAAAGATGTCCCCCATGTTTGTTAGCACTTAAAATACTTCCTTTTATTTGTCCTAACTATATTATTCAAATTTCAGAGGTTGCTAACCAAGTTCAAATATTTAATCCCAATTAGTTTCTTAGTTCATCTGACCTTTGCTGAATAAGAAACTGCAGGTAGATTATATTAATTAGGTTTAGCTTCTGCCACTTGAAACAGAAGCTCAAGATAATAGAGGCTTATGCATGATGAAAGTGTCTTGCTCTGTCACGTTAAAAGAGTTGAGAGTTGAGAGCCCAGGGGTGTGGGGCAGCGATGTGGTAGAGTAGAAGAATATTTTTATCTCTCTACTGCATCATTCTAATTCGTGGTTGAAGATGGTTGTCAGATTTCCGTTGATCATTTTCTTTGGCAGCCAAAGAAAAGGGGGGGGGGCGGTGTTGATAGCTGAAGGGTACAGAAGAGAACCCCATCCAGTGAAATCTTTTCTATGCATTTCTACTTGGTTCAGGGAAGCTGGGGAATGTAGTCTTTCATTCTACCAATGTGCGCAGTTAAAAATCTGGGTACTGCTACGAATAAAGGGAGAATGGACAGTGGTGTGATCAACTGGCAGGGTCTGACACAAAGATCAAGATCAGGTATTATTAGGTGTACCTCTAAACCCATTATAAATGTGTGAACCTTTTATAAAACTCCCACGACAGAGCAAATTAAAATTTATTTTGTTATTCTGCTGAAGTCCTACTACTGTATTTTCCTTGCAGTGAATAGGAGCTCCACAAAATGCAATGCCCTTGGCAGTTTAATGGCTATTGGTTGTGGAGGAAGTCCATGACATTTGTGCTATAAAGTTTTATTGTGTGGTTCTGTGGAACTACAGTTGAGTTCTGTTGACATCCTTAATCTCAGGGCACAAGTGTGCACAAAGTTGTATATTGATGCACAAAGTATGACTTGGGAGTACTGCACATTGCTTTTCTAGCTCCTGATTCTAGTTGTGAGACTTTTAATTGCTTGACAAACCGCTTACTTTCACTAGACCACTTTGCTTGGGATCAAAATAGTTAAACAGTTATTTATCCCAGATTATGTTTTTTCAGTTTAAAGAATGTTAGTTAGCCTTTCTAAACTGGGCTTCACAAGGCAACTAAGCCCTACAAGAAAATTATTTGAGAGACTATTTAATCGATTCTCCCAAGGATGGTACAAAGTTAATGGCATTTTCAATGTATAGGAGAGTCATGCATACAATGGAGGCTTTATAGTATTTTGGCTTAATTTTCTTGGGGAACCCCTGTTGAAAGGGCTTGATAGTTTCCCTGATTTAGGCATATCATTGGCCATTATGTAACCACTGACCCTTAACAAAGACAAACATGGATACACATCAGGAAGTGGTTTTCTTATTCCCATGGTATCTGATACAGCATCAAGTGACTTCTGTGTCACCCCCTTATGCATGACAGTCAACATAAGATTTCCTTTGTGAAACTCATGTGGTGTCCTCAGAAAACAATCTATTTCATTTTGCCATGTTGTCTTTTGTGTATTATGGAATGTTGCAGAAGCTTCTTACCAATTATTATAATTGTGCTCATTATAGCTGCTCTGTTAAAAACTGAGATGAATTCTCAAAGGTCGTCTTTGTTAATTGTTTGCAATGATTTACTGCAAAGCTACTATAGTTTATTGTAATAAAATTGATAAAGCCATAGCTTGAAATCAATTTTTAAATTATTGTTTTTATTCTATACTACTTCTCTCTCTCTCTCTCTCTCTCTCTCTCTCTCTCTCTCCCTCTCTCTCTCTTTTCTTTTTTTTGTAGAAAGTAGCCACAGATGGAATTGAATATAATGCTTGTGTCCTTCTGGTTTTAGATCTGAGACACTTCCAAATTTGCTAATACTTGCTTCAGAATTAGTGCTTACACTCAGGCGAAGTCTTTGAAGTTCTTTTATTTTCTGAAATAATTATGGGAATTTCTGTATTTTGTCACCTTCTGGGGATTCCTCCCCAGCTGGACGTTGAGGGGTTGTAACGAAGCCTAGGAGGACCATCAGACGAGGACATTCCTGGCCAAGGAGAGAGCCTGTACCAGGGCGTGGAGGTGGGGAGCGTGCGGAGCATGTTCAGGGGACCACTACAGAGCTTAAGGATTAAAAAGTGCTGAGGACCTGGTGGCACAGGATGAATCTGGACAAGTTAGGGCTATATCCTGAAGGCAGGGACTTTACAAGGTTTTCACAGCCTTTGTTTACCCAACTGAAACTTTAATCAAATAGTTTTAGGTAAAAATTCAATATGTAGAAGAGATATAAGAGGAGTGTTTTTATTTTGGTTTTTGTTTTGTGTTTGATTGTTTGTTTGTTTGTTTGTTTGTTTGTTTAATTAGACGAGGGAGGCTGTGACTCCTGGCCCTTCCTCCAGACTACCGCTGGAGCCAGTCAGTGTCGGGCCGGAAGTTGAGTAGCAAAGTAACTTGGTGGGGTGTGTCTACTAGAAGGATCTGTTTTAAGCCCTGCTCCACTTAGTTTCTATTTCTGTCTTATTTACTGAATTCCTGTGGGTGAAGCCGTGACCATTCTGCATCTCTCTGTCCAGAATATGGACGTGACCTTCTCCCAGTAGCCTCTGGTAGAGTGTTTTGCTTGTAGTTAACGAACTCAGTGAATATTTGTTAAAATTGGACCAAAAAAATCTAACTATCTTCACTTGTTTGGAAGAGTCAGGGGGACACACTGCTATAAGCACATTTAGTTCCTCCCTCCCAACGGGACAGAGGGGAGTGATTATTAGCATAGCGTATAATATTAAAAATAATAACAACAGCCATGGTCAAACTAAAAATTGATATCGTTGACTGAGGGTTTATCATGTGCCAAGCACCGTTCTTAGTACTTAATACAACATATATTAACTCATTTAATCCTCCAAACAACTCCCATTAAGGGAATACTGCTATTATATCCACTTTACAAATGAGGAATTGAAAGCACCAAGAGCCTAAGTCACTTGTCCAAGCCCCACAGACAATAAGTGGCAGAAGGTTCTAATTCAAACCCAGCCGGTCAAGGTGTGCCCACCCTCCCCGCAGCCCTGTAACAACAATGAGGGGTTGGGGAGCACTGCCACAGCGTGGTCTTCAGATTCCGATAACAGCCCACAGGCACTGAAGATATAAGTCACCTTATTTACAGCTGACGTAACCCAAATGAATGACAGTACTGCTAGGGTTAAACATATTTGCTTCTGGGTAACTTGAGCATAGATAGGCCTTTTTATTCATTCATGGTTTTCTTGGGAGTCAGACGTTAATGCAGGCTTGGGGGCGGGGAAGGTGCACATCAGACTGGTGTTACCCAATTCTCCAAGGGGCACGGGCCCCGTGTAAGACAGCGGGTTCGCCTCATGGTAAAGAGGAGCAGTGTAGTCATCACTCTTACCTGAGTATGTGCTTGTTTTGGCACTTCATGGCCCTCTTTCCCTGGACATGTTCCCTCTGCCACATGTGTCAATGTGGATCAGATCTCTCCTCTCACAAAGTTAGTGTGAAAAGTAAATGTAGTTACTTATAAAGCATTTGAGAACAATATGTAGAACACAGTGTCTGGTGCATGTAGTTATTACAGTGTCTGTTGCTGACATTTTTTGCCTCTCTCCCCATGGCACCAACTCCCATAGAAGACAACAGACTGTACCCCTCCAGCTACAGGGTCTTGGCAACCAC